TCGTGGTCCCAACATATGTCTTGGGTACTGGCGCAATCCAGACGCGACTAAGGAGTCTATCTCACCAGATGGATGGCTCAAGTCTGGAGACGTTGCTATCGTGAAGAACGGATGGTTCTGGATAGTTGATCGAAAGAAGGCTAGTCACTTTTGCCTTTCAACACTCACGATTGGAACGAGTGCTAATACTACCCAGGAGCTGATAAAAGTCAACGCTTTACAAGTTGCACCCGCCGAACTGGAAGCCGTGCTCCTCGAATTCGATCCAATCGCCGATGCGGCTGCCGTTGGTATCACGCTTGATGGGCAGGAATGGCCACGTGCATACGTCACGCTCAAGGACGAACACAAGGGCAAGACAACCGCGGAGGATATCCACAGGCACATGAAGATCAAGGTCGCAAAACACAAGCAGCTTGTAGGAGGCATCGTGTTCGTGGACGAGGTGCCGAAGTTGCAGTCTGGGAAGATCATGAGGAAGGTCGTCAAAGAATGGGCGAAAAGGGACGCTGAGAAGATGGGCAAGGCTAGACTCTAGACAGCGCTGTACTATAGTCATTATTTGCACGCAATATCAGCGACAGCACATCTTTGGCTATTTCGTATCCGAACATGATGCGTCTGGCACGATCAACACCAGACGAGCGTGAACACAACAACATCCGACGCTTGATCATGAGATCACGCGTGTACACTACAATTTGCATGAATCAATGTTCTTTACTAAACTCAGCTTTCATGACATGTCGCTCTTGCCGACTACCCCCGCCTTCCCCACACATCCCAAAGTAGGCAAGCGTGACCTTGCCAGCTTTGAGTTCATGCTGGATCGCACCTGAACAGCCCCGCGTAAGTACATCCGCAACCCCTCAGCAGATGCACACCCTTGACACCCATCATGCCGCCACAAGCATCGCCGTAGTCATGCATCTCGGTCTGGCTAATGCAGCAAGACAGTGCGCGAACCCAGACGCGTTCTCGTACCGGTCGCAGCGCCTGCGAAAACCGGCCTAATCTATGCCGCATGCCATGCACCAACCGGCGTGCGAGGAGGTGTACAGTGAGATGTGTGAAGACATCCGAGGCGCGGTTAAACACTCCAGAGATGTTGGTTCGCCCCGATACAGTGGTCGGGCTGCCTCGCTATCTTCTTTATGTTGATTGTGTAGCATCTTCAAGCTCTATCTACTGTCTTCGAGGCTGCATCTCAGCATACCCTATCGACTTTGTCCTTCTCGCTTTTCGGTTTATCTCTGTGATCACGTATCTGTCACTCTCCTTTGGGATAGCACCTACCAGTCTTAGCAACCGCCACGATGGGGGGCTCGGAGATGCCAAACGGACTGAACGTCAACGGCTACGGTCACAACTACGACTACCCACCATCGCATGTTGATGGACCCTACAGAACCCTGGATCAATACCATTCCAAGCCAGCCAAGCTGCGAGTGGCATGTGTTGGCGCGGGTGCATCAGGGCTGTGTCTAGCCTACAAGATGGAGAAGATGCTGGAGCCTGGATCCTGGGAGTTGACGTTGTTTGAGAAGAACGCACAGTTTGGCGGAACATGGTACGAGAACACCTATCCCGGCGTCGCATGCGATATTCCATCGCATGACTACAACTTCACCTGGGACCCGAAACCCGACTGGTCGACTTTCTTCGCAGCAGGGAAGGAGATCCAGGGGTATTTCGAGAACTTCGCCGAGAGACATGGAAGCAAGAAGTACATGCAGTTGAACAGCAGGATCGAGCAAGCCAACTGGAACGATGAGGATGGGTGCTACAGCCTTACCATCAGGAATCCCAAGACTGGCTCGATGAGGAAAGATTGGGCGCACGTCTTGGTGAACGGTTCAGGTGAGTGTTAGACCAGCGTCAAATTTACACGCCTAACAGATAATAGGTATTCTGAACAACTGGAAATGGCCAGACATTGAAGGTCTTCACGACTTCAAGGGTCCCGTCCTCCACTCCGCGTGCTGGGATCACAGCGTCGACTTCACAAACATCAACGCTGCCGTCATCGGTGTTGGTTCGACCAGCGTCCAAATCGTACCATCACTTCAAAAGGTCGTCAAGGGGTTGGAAGTATACATGCGGAGTCCAACATGGATATCGCCTCCTTTCGGCGCCGGCGCACTGAACGATGACCTGCAGAAGGGACAAGACGTCGACCCTGGACAACGGCAGTACACTTTCACCGAAGCCGACATCAAGAAATTCAAGGAAGACCCGGAGTATCACTTGGAGTTCCGGAAGAAGATCGAAGCAGAGATCAACAGTTTGTTCGGGATGTACCAGCAAAACTCAGAACTCCAGAACCAGTTCAAGGATGTTATCACCAAAGAGATGCACCGCCGTATGGGGCCTGGCCACGAGAAGCTGAAAGAGTTCATAATCCCCAAGTGGTCCGTTGGCTGCCGGCGCATCTCGCCCGGAGACGGCTTCCTGGAGGCTTTAGTGCAAGACAACGTAACTCCAGTCTTCGACGGCATCGAACGAATAGTTCCAGAAGGTATTAAGACTAAGGACGGCAAGATCCACAAACTCGACGCCATTGTCTGCGCCACTGGCTTCCAGGTCGCATTCCAACCCGCCTTCACGGTTCGCAACGGCTCCAACGTATCCATCAAAGAAGACTGGACCACCGGCCCGAACCTCTACATGGGTGTATCCGCTCCTCGATTCCCGAACTTCTACACTATAGTCGGACCCGGCGCGACGTGGAGTAACGGCACGCTCTTGCCGTCGATCGAGACAACCGTAGAGTATAGCATCAAGTGCATGAAGAAGATGCAGAGCGAAGGCATCAAAGCAATGAGCGTGAAGCAGGACGCCCTAGATGAGATCTACGCGCATTTTGATGAGTTCCACAAGACGACAGTGTGGCAAGAAGAGTGCCGGAGTTGGTTCAAGAACGGACAGATCAAGAACAGGATCTATCTGTGGCCTGGTGCCGTAAGTACCCTTCAGCTTTTATGTCGCGCTTCCTTCCATATATCCCTGTCCCAATCAACGGTGGTGTCGCGCATACCCGACCTTATGCGCGCATCTCCTATCAACCCCGCACAAAGCTGTTCGCGACTGACTCATTCAATGCAGACGATACACTTCCTCAAAACCATCAAGACACCGCGCTGGGAAGACTACGACTATGTATACAGATACAAGAACCGGTTTGCTTTCTTAGGCAACGGCGATGTGAAGGCGACGGCAATGAAGGATATGCATGGCTTGAGCCCCTATATTCGCAACCGGGACCACGAATGGGACGTTGACTAAAGGCGGCCGAGCTGACATCTGTCAATGGGTCAGGCGTACCGTCGCTTGTTGGTACTAGATCTGGGCCCGGATTTCGGGTTGTTTTCTTTCCATTGGCATCCGAGCGTGCTGGGCGTCACCCGTCAGGGCTCATAATTTACTTCTTTTCTGACAAGCTGCTACTTTTTGGTTCATTTGCATCGCGCATAGCATGCGTGCCCATCACTTCGGCAATTTCGAATGGTTTGGAAGAAAGTTAATATTGGTGACTTGCAGCTCCCACAGCCCTCAAGACCCCTCAATCGCGCACGGCTTCTGTCGCAGTTCGCTAGGACCTGGTGTGCGTGTCAAACTATAGTGACTATGGCTAGCCTGATTGCGTCCATGGATGCAGGCGTCGGATGCTCGCTTCCTAGTCCCAATAAGAACGCCAAGAAGCAAACATCACGATGGTTACAAGCTCCGAGACTCCGCCACCCCAATCGCAAGCCTTGACCCCGCTCATCTCGACGTCTTTCGACTCATGTACCCCGGATTGAAGACTCACTCTGCCCTAACACGAATCGTGATTTCCCGACTACCGTCGCATAGGGACGACGCCACACTGCGCTATGGCCTGCAATTGGGCTTTGGGTGAATGCAGAGCAGCCCCAGACTCAGCTCAAATGCGAACTACTGACGCCATAGGTTCATGTGACGATGGCCTCGAAGCGACAGAGTGACTTGTTCCTCCAACCAAGCGATCCGCAATGCACTCCTACGTCAACTGTAGGCTTCTCCGCAAAGATCGGCTCAATGCCGGTTAACGAGCGTGTGGAGAGGGAAATTAAGCCATGCCGTAGGTTTGGCCTTGAGCACGGTGTTCTCGATTCTGCAAGCACTCGCTCTTCTGGGGTCATGATTCGTCAGATCCGGTACGCAGCTCGTTCCGAGCATGTCGAGCCGACAGCATTACTAGGTACATGTCATTCGGTTGCTAGATTTACGAAGAAGCTTGCCCAAAGCCAACGTGGTCGCATAGCTTGGAGGCGCCCAGTACAGTGAAACTGCGGGGCCCCACCTCCACGAGTTGAAGGCCTAAACCTCTCCAAAAATCTAGCGGTTAACGTTTAGGGCTAGATTAGGCCTGGGTCACTTCATGCTCGTGGAACTCGGAGTTTAGGCTTGACAGTCGTCCTCGCTGTCCGGTCTGCGACTCCTCTCCCCGCAACATCCACAACTCTTTGCGACATAGTAGTGTGATTCCCTGCTGACGTCTGTCTGCGAGACACCATCCCCTGTACATACCAAAAGCGACACCATCGATGGCCAACGAAAGATCGGCAGCACCTGATAACAACATGAGCGAACAGCGCTCACCGGAACCGGCCTCGAAAGCCGGCAGCAAGCAGGAGCAGAATACATCGGAGAAGTGCTCCACGAAAGGGAAGTCTTCAAAACCTCGACACAGGGCGTCAGTCGCTTGCGCGTCGTGCCGAGACCGCCGGATACGAGTATGTCTGTTCTATCTGCTTCCACGATACGTTTTGACGACTTTGCAGTGTGTAGTACCTCCCGGCGAGACAGAGTGTACACAGTGTAAACGATCCGGGGTGGAATGCGTCATCAAAAACGACGACGAACGACGACGGTATGTAATGTGTCTTTACTGACTGATACCAAGCTGACACCTGTAAAGACCTATCTCGAGGGCATACATGTGCTCTCTCACCGATCGCGTAGCACTACTAGAAACAATGCTGAAGGAGCGAGGCGAAGAGCTACCCCCAGCGAATCACCCTCCCAAAACCCGCCATAACCCTCAACCCGACGAAGAAGGTACATCACCCACCCAGAAAGCAAGCGAAACCCAAGCGCACAACAACGAAAACCATTCCAGTCCAGGCAGTCAACAAAGCCCACAAGATGACTATCCTGATTTCGAACAGCACGAGATGAACACGAATAGTCCTCGTTTCTCAAACGGTGATGCAGAAAGCGCGGGCTCGCCATCTATGCTACCACCTCCAAAGAAAGATGGTATGGTCAACCGTCTCCTCTCTACTCGAGGCCATCTTAGCTTTGATCAGTTGAACGGCCGCCTCCGCTACTTCGGTCCAACAACAAACTGCCATGTACATTCTGAGTCGGTCAACCCCTTCGGCGCAACACAAGAGATGAATGAGCAGGCTCGACGCGCCGACAAGATCATCCGCTCTCTTCCACTGGAAACATACGACTATCTCATGGATCTGTTCTGGCAATGTTACAACCCAGTCATCCATGTTTTGCATCAAGATGCTTTCAACGAAGACCGCGAGATGGGCCATACACAGTTCTATTCTGGGTTCCTGCATGTCTGTGTTCTGGCCATGGGTTACCGTTTCGCAAACAAGGAAAGGCTCGACATCAGAAGAATCGGTTTACCGGGCATGGAGAGCACGTTACATCGCGAAGCAAAGTATATGCTTGATCATGAGCTGGAAAGACCGGGCGGAATACCGAGCGTAGTTGCATTACTTCTGCTAGGCGACCTCGAGTGCGGCGTCGGTAGAGATAACCTGGGCTGGATGTACGGCGGGATGGCTGTGCGACTTGCTTTCGATATCGGGTATGTTCTACTGGAAGATGTCTCAGTGGTATACTAACGTCTACATAGTCTCCACCTCGATACACGACTCTCAGGTCTTCCAGAACGCGAGGTCGAGATCCGCCAAATGACTCTTTGGGCATGCGTCATCTACGACAAATACTGGGCACTTTTCTTGGGCCGGCCGACCTCGATGAAGCCTTCCGATCTCGAAATATACAACTTGACAAAGCAATTTGAGCGCCTTGGCACCTGTCGACCGGCTGGACTGGGGAAGAGCATGGAGACCATGATCTATGAAGCACTCCTCGATCTTATGGAGCTCGCAGGAAAGATCACCGAGAATATGGATCCGCATCGCTCCCAAAACGCTTCCTCCGACTCACACACCGCCGTGGATCGGAATCAGTATATGCGCATGGCAGCGCTGGACCGCGAGTTCAGCAGTTGGTACGCTAGACTACCTGAGCAACTGCGCTGGACACCAGCCAACATTGCGACTGCCCCATTCTCGTTCTTCTTGTTGCATCAGCAGTATCACTCCAGTCTGATCTTGCTACACCGACCGTTCGCCATGTATGAAGACCAAGCGGGCAACGAGAGTGGCCCTGACGACCATTTCTCCGCGTTGAGTAGGACAGTATGCACTAAGCATGCTATTCGCGTAGCAAGGATATACTGGCAACATCGACAGCGATTCGATACGAAGCAGATATTCGTTACAGGCATGCAACACGCGGTATGTAGCAGCTAAAACCTCTCATCTCTCGCTAACAATCTTCCGCAGGGCACAGCGGCGACTGCACTCGTAGCAGCGTTGGCGTTCATAAAAGACCCCACTTCCAGAGCCAACAACATGCAGTACCTCGAATGTCTATCAGCCGCGCTTTCCGACATGGCATCCACCTATCAACCTGCGGAACGGATGTCTACCGTACTCCGTGCGGTGATGGTAGAGCTACGCGGCGGCCCCGAGCCCCCCAACTCTTCGTTCAACTTGTACAAGCCCGCATCCTCGACAGTACCCGCGCGAAGAGGCAGCACCATAGATATGGACGCCGACATGAACGACAACCAGCAGTGGGCCAAGAAAAGGCAGACCAGCAGCGGAAGACCCAGAGCCGGTACAGGCGGAAACAGAAAGACGAGAACGATGAGTATGAGTACTACAATGAGTATGCCATCTGATCAAGGGAGACATGGGCTCAGCATCAAAGCTCCTCCGCCACCCCGGTTCGATGACCCAATTCAAAACAACGATGGGTACGTATTGGTAACGCCACGTTCAGAACTCGGTAGTGTTGGCTGGCCCAGCATATCGGAACCTCCTCAGCTTTCTCACAACATGTCTACGCCCTCCACCACCCTTTCTTCTTCACAAATGAACCGGAATTCTGGGGCCTGGATGGGCGCAGACTTTGATCCTCACGATCCAATTTCACAACTTGCTAATGCGCATTTCCCTGAGCTGAGCGCGTTTGATGATCTTGACACGGGTGGTAGTGGTGGTGTTAGTGGCGGTGCGATTGACGGAGTGAATCTCGATTTCATGCCACTGGGAGATGGAAACGAGTGGAGTCTACCCAAAGAATGGAACGGGCCGAGTGATATGGATGGGTTGAGTGCTTTTGATATGTAGTGTGTGCTTGCGAGCCGCGAGTTTATCTGATAAGGAACTGTATTAACCCTCTTTGATATCGATGACGGCATCTCTCCCCATACTACCATTCTTCTCTTTACTATGGGTCGAGTGCTCGTCATCAGCCACGACAGTCCCCAATCGCGTCAGCCCACTTTCCCTCCCCTCACCCATCCTCTCCACCATACGCTGAATATGCGGATGCGACGGCGCAGGTCTCTGACTTGATCTCCTCCTTCCCATGCCCACCCCAACCCCCATAGGCATATGCTCTGCCCCTCTAAGTCGTAACCGCATACCCTCTTCCGTCGACATGGTCCTATCTACGCGCCTTGGAGGCTCCAAGTCTGTGTCATTCGGAATTTTCGGCTGCGTCCTTGGTCGTAGCCATCGCCAAAATTCCTTCGTTTTCTGCGCCCAGATGCTGTAGCCATATTTTGTCGAGAGGAAGCCGATGATGCTGAAGAAGGGTATGCAAATTGTCACCAAGACGATGGCGAATGGCGTGAAGTTTGCCGGACTTTCAGGCATGTTTGTCATGCCGAAAACGGAAGTTACGAATGTGAGAGGCTATTAATTCGTTAGTCATCTGTTGTGAGAGCTTGTAGAATTTGGCATATGCACTTACCATGAAGAAGAGATTGACGATGGTCAAGACCTTGATGTTGTACCCTTGGTGCACGGTGACATCCGCTAGCTCAACGGACTTCCTGGACTCTTGGATGCTAGTACCAGAGAACAACTGCTCCTGCAATGTTTCAATCTCATGCCGTCTTTCATTATTTTCCGAGATGATGATCCTAAGCTCTTTCATTTCCCGTTCGAATTGAAGCCGCAACGTGCGCAAACGGCGTTTCCAGTGATCGTTGCGCGGCGACTCCTCAAAAAGCGGCCAGAGCGTCTTGTTCTGGCCTTCCCAAATATCGTCGGTGAAGCAATCCTCAAAAGCGTCGATCATGGATTTAATGCTATTGTTCACGTTGCCCAGGGTTTGATGTGCGTAGAAGTATCTGCGGATCCAGGTGAAGTCTTTATCCTCGAACAGTCGGGCTCGGCGTAACTCTTCGCTAAACAGGAAGCCTAGCGGTGGAGTAACTAGGTCGGTGATACGCTTGTAGATTTCGTCGAATCGCTTCCTCGCATCCCGATATTCTGTCAGCAAAGCATGAAGAAATGCTTCCGCGCCATTGAGATACTTGTGGCCGGTCTCGAATGTATATGGCGTTCCATTAGCTGGTGTCGACTTCCAGTCCGGGAAACTCTCCAGCTGTAGAACTTGCCATGGCGACCAGACATCATGCACCCATCCGAACTGTGTCTTCGCACGTCTTCCTCGATTTCGGATGCGGCGTGGTTTGTCGTCATACAGGACAAGCGCAACGACTGCACTGCACCGCGAAAGTGGTATATGATGATCAGATTGACCCGTTATCTTATCCGCACGCTGCCATTGCATGGGCTGACAGTCATCTCCAACGATGGTATAGTATTCGAAGTTGAAGAAAAAGGTCCTTTGGTGTTTAGGATTCTGATTGAAAGCTCGGAACATATGCGCAGATGAAGCTTCTGTTTCGACTAGATGCCGAAATAGTTCGTCCATGTCAAAAGCATCATTCAGCGTCAGATGAAGTGCACCGAACAAAATTGGTGAAGGTTCTCGCGCTATGGTGATACGTCCAACCACTGTTTGGTCCGGCTGCTTGCCAACGTCCCTCAGCGCATGCCAAATCTCAGTTGCCCGGCTCATGTTGTTTTCAGGACCGGTCACTTCAATCAGCTCAGGCAAACCGTTGGTTCCGACATTGTACACTTGGAAGTGCGAATAATGGCTTCGATCATCTGCTGGCCCGGGCCCCATGTGAAAGAGATGAGATTGTTTGGTGAGCTTCGCGGGATCAGAGATGATCGATGCCAGAATCTCTCTGCCATGTTCAGTCCAGTTATGCGTCTTCAGATGCTCGCGTAAATGTTCGTGGTCGAACGAATGGGACGGTAATTCGTCCTGGACGAAATAGTCGTCTTCTTCATCGCTGCTGTCGTCAGAAAGCGTCGAGGTATCGGCGAAGATGGCATCGCCTCCGTGACGTGTAGATGCGCGGCGAAGTTGTGAGGCGTCGGATGGTTTGAAGGTGTCGTTCGTTGCTGATAAGCTTTTCAATAGCGCCTCATAGGAGCGCTGGAGCGACTCTAGCTGCTTCCGAAGATCGTCAATCTCAGTCGTTGCCATCTGTAGTGTTCAAAGCCGTGCGACCCGACATGCGAAAGCTATTCTCGAGATCGAACTTTACAGAAGGTTCTGCTTATGTCGTGTAGGATTGTTAGGATCCGGCCCCCACACTAGCGCTGCAGGAAGCCCAGCCTTTCAATTCAGCATTCGAGTTTCCCATCCAATCTTCATCTATGCCAAGGTGGAGTTAGGGTGGAGCTGGGTCCAGAGCCGCGATCAGAAGAGGGGCCATTGGCCTAATGCGTAAATGCACACCGGTCGTATGAAGGAGTTGTGAGGAAAATATGCAACACGCCTGCTTAGGTTCGCTCACCGCCCTTTTCCAATTGGACATGCTCATGTCGCGAGCCAGTTCAGATCGAGCAGTCGAGCACGAGGGCTGTCTCCAACAAAGTAAAGATGATTCTGTGTCGCGGGTAGAGGCTCTTCGGGTAGCTCTGCTGCTTTGTTGAGATCTCGGGAGCGGGGAGCAGAGCCGGCGAGATTGAAGCGACCGTCCACATCACGTGACCATCACGGAGCTGACTTCTAGACTTCTCAGTATAGTCACATTGTCGTCATTTTGCCCAGGTGAGCATTTGCGCATCTCGTAGACGACGCGACCTGACGCGACTTACTTTGCGTTTCGAGACGCGTCGGGCCACGATGTCGTTTTTCTTCGGTCGCGTCATCGGCGCTCGCTTATCGATTGCCAAATTTCCTTTGCCCGTGATCTTCGTGACACCAGCCCCCAACATTGCCCACGTGAATTGAGAGGGCATGATGCCTACCCTTTCCACTTTTCTTTCGGTATCGCTGCCTGTGATTCTGGCTGCTCTAATTTACCAGCTAGGGCTGCCGGCTTTCATCAGCGAATACATACCATCCACGTTGCTTCCAAATCTCTTCGTACCCACATACTGCTACAAGTCTGTCAGAACGCTTTCGTCGGAGTTTCCGCATGCCGAGTGCTTTACCATTCACGACGGCAGATTCTCCAGTGTCTTCGTAGACAATGCAGCCCCTGATGCGGTCAAGGAATCCCGCACAGGTTACGTGTACCCTGGTTTTTGGGATGGTCACGGTCACTTGGTCCAGTTTGGAGAATCTCTAGATTCAGTGAGCCTCTTTGGCGCCGATTCAATGGACGAGATCAAGAGGAGACTGTTGGAGTATAAGACAGTCCGTCCAGAAAAAGGAACTAGTGAACAGTGGCTACGGGGCGTCGGTTGGGACCAAGCTCATTTTGAAGGGAGGTGGCCAACTGCAGTACGTTGGACCTGATGAACGTAGACGTGCTGAAGTGACCGTGCTGATACTGACACTTCATCTAGGCAGATTTGGAGATAGATGAGAGATTCAAGGATCTTTATGTTATGCTTGATCGTGTTAGTTCTCCGTACGAAATGGGAGCGACACATATACTGACTTCGCGCAGGTTGATGTTCATTGCATCTGTGAGTCAGCCCTGGAAATCGAGCATGAGTTCAATCTAACTCAGTAATTTCATCTTAGGGGTATCTGAAAAGGTGCTTGATCTTCTTCCGTCATTCAGTATACCTCCCGGAGGCGAAGTGCCGGCAAAGGGTGTCTTCTGCGACAATGCCATGGATATCGTACTGGAGTATTACCCAAAGCCGACCCAAGCGCGCAAAACCGAGTTCATTAAGACTGCGATGGCAGAGTTAAACAAACATGGTATTGTCGGGATGCACGACGCCGGTGTAGTGCCGGCAGATTTGGAGCTATACGAAGAGCTCGCGAACGACCCGGACTGGACTGTGAGAGTCAATGCGATGATCGAATGCGACGTCCGGAACACGTTTTGTCCCGGGGCAGTCAGGAAAGTTTCGACTCCGGATGGCCGATTCCATGTGAACAGCGTCAAGCTTTTCGGAGGTTTGTATACACGGCCCACTCTCAACAAGTTACTTACAACGTGCAGATGGGGCTTTGGGCTCCTGGGGCTCAGCTATGATCGAGCCGTACAGCGACAAACCGGAGTCCTCCGGCTCTTTACTCGTCAACGCGACTACGCTGTCACGTGTGACATATGATTGGGCCGTAAAGGCAGGGTACCAAGTTAATATTCATGCTATTGGGGATCTTGCTAACAGGCTTGCGGTTGACGCGTTTGAAGCGGCGTTGAAACGCTTGTGCCCCCACGCTAACCTCCGCGACTGTCAAGCTAAACGTCGTTTCCGCATCGAGCACGCCCAAATCATCCATCCAGATGACCAGCGCAGGATGTCAGAACTTGGTATCATTGCGTCAATACAGCCCACGCACGCGACCTCGGATATGGGTTATGCGGAGAGCAGGCTTGGCCAGCAACGAACAAAAGATGAGGCGTACCGAATGCGGTCGCTCTTACCACTTCGTCCAGTCCTCGGTAGCGACTTCCCAGTTGAACCCGCGAGTATCTTCGAGGGAATGTATGCGGCAATCACGCGACGAAGTCCACGTACAGGACTGGACCCTAGCGGTGGCAAGGCTGGCTGGTATCCCGAAGAGAGTCTCACTTTCGAACAAGCTTTAGAGGGTTTTACGGTGAACGCTGCATATGGTGCCTTCTTAGAAGGCAAAGCTGGTGTCATCGAAGCGGGGGCGTATGCTGACTGGGTTGTTCTCGACGAACAACTTGAATCGCTGGACCCAGAAGCATTGAGGAAGGTGACAGTGAAAGAGACGTGGGTGGGCGGCAAGCGAGTCTATTGACGGCCCGGCCATGAAGATCTTGTTCGGTAGAGAGGTTGAGCGGCGAGATCTCCCTCCACCGGCCAACGCCTGACATCAGCTCGGCAAGCCATTGATGCAGCACAGTCGACTGGACGGCTCCGGCGGCCGTCAATCAAAAGTTTTCGAGAAAATTCGAGCGGTAGGCTGCCGGCAAGAGAGGGGTTATTGATCTGCATACTGCCGCCAGGGTTTGAGGCTGCGGGTCATAATGTGTCCCTGCTATCTGAATCACGTCTATAGGTGTGCCTTCAATTCTTTATGCCCAACATGCATTTAACCCCACACGTTTGTACTACATTGAGCGTAGATCCCGCTTGTATGTCGGGCCATCCCTAGCACAACTCACTATCCCACACGACCATCAGGGTACTCAGCCAACCAGACAGACGCCATTACCGCTCAATGCGTTTGACACATGGCAAATGCGAGAAAGAGTTTTCCTAGTCTACACATGCACGCTCGTGTTGATGATTCTCCCGGGCACAGCTGACAATCGCAGTAGCGTATAAAACTTTGCTAAACTGATAGTTTGCATCTTGATCACACACTCAAATACAGCAGTACTACCTGACAACAGAAACAACAAAAAACACGTATACTCGTACCTCATCATGACGACCATCGAACGCAAGCCCACTGCGGAACTATCCAAACCTACTACCCCTGTCGGGTCCCTTACCGTCACACCCCCAATCACACCGAATGCGACAAGTACCGCGGCGCATCAGCTAGTTTCCGAGATCAGGGACATATACACGGTACTCAACGAACTATCGTCATTAGCGCCGTCGGATCAAGTCAACTCTCTCCTCACACGACTCGTAAACCTCTGCGTCGTACCTTACAGCGCAGAGTTTACGTCGTATTTTTTCCGCATACCTGCCGTAGAGAGCCTTTGCTCTAATTTGCGACCGCTATGTTCAGAAGCCGAGGGAGAGTTGGAGAAGTTCTGGGCAAATCGCATGCTCAACGACATCAGCGGTAAGTGCAGCGCACTCACGCATCACACTTAACTACAGATCTGACCTTCTTTAGGTACAACCACAACACCTGAGGATATTCTGACAACTTTCCCTTACCACCAAAATTACGTCGATCTCTCCCGCTTGGAATGTTCTACCATAGAAGCGTTCCTCCCCAGCCCACCGTCCAAAATCGCTTTCATCGGCTCCGGTCCATTACCTCTGACCTCCCTCTGTTTCCTGGACCGCTATCCTAATGCGCAAGTTCATAACGTGGATCGCGATGCCTCCGCGCTTCAAGTCAGCAAATCGTTATGTGAGCGGTTAGGCTATGGCAAGCGCATGAGTTTCGCTTGTGAAGACATCACCGAGGTTTCGTCAAACGCCGAATGGCAATCGTGCCAGGTCGTCTTCCTTGCTGCGCTGGTTGGTACAGATACGTACACGAAGCTCAACATACTCAAAAGCATGGTGAAAAAACTGGTGTCAGGTACATTGGTGGTGGCGAGGAGCGCGCAGGGCATGCGAAGTGTGTTGTATCCGGTATGTTTGCACCGACTTCCAGTGCGATCATGTCAGGCAGTAGTCATTAATGAAAATACAGATACTGGAACTGTCAGAAGAACTCCAATCCATCGGTGTCGAGATTCTTGCTGAAGTACATCCGTGGACTAAAGTCGTTAATTCGGTCATCGTTCTACGCGTGAAATGAAGGCGAACGTGGTTTATTAGTACAAGTTGGCTTGAGGTGCATATTTGCTAGGTTTAGCAGCTCACATAGTGTATTTGCATAGTCGGCGGCGTATGCCGCACTTCCCACAACGATATGACGAATCGAAGCGAAAGGGAAATTCACGAACGGTGTATCGCACGACTGGCCTTAATCTCCGCGATATGTTTACTTGAGCATGAAAACCTCATGATGGTGGCGCTAGTTATTGATGTCAATGTATGCGAATGGCTCTGGCACTATCTCTCCACAATGACCGCGATCTCCTTTCGGTACTTGGTACGAATAACGTATCATCCCCAAGTCCATTTGCAAAGCTAAGGTTTAATTTTGAGATTAATTCATTGTGAGACTAGATCACGCTAGAAGCGACGGCACATGGTAAAGAGACTTGGTATTAGTACGAATAATTGTCTTCGCGTCATCATGAGCCAGTTGCGCCCTACATATTACAGTCGTTTCATGTGATCAAAAAGTACCTGGGTATCCAACTATCGAGCGGCTCAGCCTCCTTCCTACTGGCCTAGACTAAAGATGCAAACAAAATCCTGACTTTCGGCCGTTAAAAACATTCCCATTACCGAGACCGGCGCGGTCCTTCCCCATTCTCCAAGTGTGGACTTGCCCAGTCGATTTCAGGGTTATACATCTTGGGGCTCCCCCCACTCTTGGAGTTGGAACTACTCCCCGCCTCTCCGACATCATTGGTCACAGTGACTTGTACGTCTGTGCTCTTCATGATACCAGACCCTTTTTGGTCGTCGTCAAGGATGGCCCGATCGCTCTCGTCGTCGCCGTCAAGGATGCTCTCGCCAGGTAGCCTAGAGTGATAGGCTTTGCTGCCTTGGAAGTTCTTCATGTGAATGCTGTTTCCTTGTGCGACGCTAGAGTTCCCATAGCCGTAGTGTGGCGTTTTGCCCGAGCCCGTCAATGTCGAGGGCATGAACTTCTTGAAAAGATGATCGAATGCTTTGCGGAGCGGAGGGAGGGATGCGATGAGGATGCCGATGGAGAGTTCGGAGCTGGACCAGATGGTAAGATTCACGCCGTCCCATGTAGGATCTTGCGTCTTGGTGATGGCTTTGAGTTCGATAGTTTTGAAGATTGAGCATATCGTGGCACTGTGAGACGTCAGTGGTAGCTCACTCACAGGGACTGTGAAGCTTGTTCGCTTACGGGATACTCAGCAGGAAAACGATCCTGATACCCAGTTGAGTTCGACTGTTCAACTGAACGCGCGAAAGATAGATCAGAGGCGCAGCCATATACACCACGTCGGTGATGATGTTGCTGATACCCTGGGTATAGGATAGTGCGAGTGTGCCCTTTGCCCAGCAATGGCTCTCCCCGGTAAACCCGAAGTTCCAGTTCCGTTCCAGGGGTGTGCATCCGAATAGCGTCAAGACCGGTGCAAGGAAGTTGAAGGCGGTAACCATCAAGATCGAGAGCCAAACGATAACTTGGTACAATTTGGAGAAGTTTAAGACGAGCAGCCAAGCGCAGATGGACCATTTGAGAAAGGCAACGGCAATGATGTCTGAAGTCATCCGTTAGCAATGGAAAGGTGGCAACGTGAAGTTGCAAACTCACTGACGATCTGTGTGATCCAAAGGTGATAGCTGTATGTCCTGAGATTCGGAAAGACCGTCGGGTCCATGATGTGGCGCCCGAGACCATTGTTGACAACGACCTGGTTCAGTGATGTCGCTGTGATGTTGAGAGCCTGGTGGACTCGTGTCAGCGACGAATTCCACACAGTCGGGACGATCTTCGGGACTGGGGGAAGACTCACAGTGGCTATGATCAACAGGTAATCACAGGCAATGAACTTGCGTGATCGCAGTCCGTACACGACTCTCCATACCAAGAAAGCGGTACTAATCACCGTTAACGTCCAAACCGGGATGAGGATCTTCAAGCGTTGGTCCGGCCATTCTTGTGTACCTGCGTCCATGATGCACTGCAGCGGGGTCGTTCAGGTGCGGAATGGCATGGATCGCAAAAGTCACAATCGGTGAACAAGAGGAAAAAGCAAACAGCCACTCAATGATCGGGAGTGCCCCGGGGTTTTCAAGTATATTCCTTCGCGCCACTCATCTCTTGCGTCGGCCGTTCTGGTTCAAGACGGGCGAAGCGAAAGCTAAACAGCACGGTCGCGGGTGACGGGAGAAGGCCGCCAGATCGATCAAAGAAGGTGCACTCACTCGAGACCAACTTTCGAAACAATCCAACACGGGGATATCCAGCTCTGCATCCTAGGGTGACGGCCGCCGAGCTGATCTGGCAGTGATGCCGCATAAATTGAGGCCCCACATGCTGCGTATTTAACCCATTATCACCCAATGAGAACGGCATCCAGGGTGGGCGGGAAACCATGATTCAAGCGTACACTTTAGAAGTACAACCGAACAGGTCACACCATGTAGAGTCGCGATTGTGGCTATGTGTGCGCATGAGAACTTCTGCATAGGACGACGCATCTTGTAGATCTTGTTGCAGATCTCAGGCCCGCCTACCATGGTCGCAACGCTGGTGGAACACTGGAAGGATGCATTAAACCGACGGTCAGAGAGCGAACGTGCGATCTTGCATCGTCTCACGGTGCTCGGGGTTGCCGCATGGACGTTGCGCAATCTTTCGTCTATCGCACCATGAGATGGGAATGGTGGAAGAGGTGGTAGCGAGTGCCAGGCCAAACGGCGCTAGAGGTGCTAGTGCGGCTAGCGCATGAGCTAAATGCAGGGCGAATTCTCCGCATACTCAAACTCACCGGTACATAGAACGAACCGAAGCCACCTTTCACGGCGCTAGCTGCCCAAGACCTTCTTCTCATTCTAGCGCTCTACCTAGTGACAAAAAGAACATTCCATTATGTGCGCTGCGACATTCCCTATCGTCGACCTGCAAAGTGTCGCAATGTCATGTCAACGTGCGGCTGAGCCCAAAGAGAAGATACTTCACACTCCTTCCTCGGGCTCTCCTCGTTGGCCCGCATGTGTGGGCCGATGCGCAGCAGCAATCGGGCCTAAGACTCAGTCTACAGGGAAGAACGCAGAATATTGAGCTGAAGGGGACCGGGTCTTTACTACTCCGCGGGCCGCCTGACTCAGTATCCTGACGCAACTCCAGCCGTGCGGAGGGAGTCCATGGTGCGCCCATGAGAATATGCCTTTCCGATATTCATGTTGCATCTGAGTGTCGACTACGACAACGTGGACATCGTCGCGCTGGCATTCCTCACCATGGACGAAGACACCATAAAGCTATCGATACGGCAGAAGAGAAGGCAATGATACGCGGATCGGAAGCTTAGCGGTATGTTTCCTGCAAGCGAGGTGGCCATCGATCCCGAATCGCGTCCACTCTCCGAAATCATGGTACCTGGTTCCCCGAGATGGTCTCAGATGGCGAATTAAGGATCGAGGTCTCCTGGTGGCCTTATTACGCTGCATATCCCGCAACAATGTACCTGCCGTGTTCCAGAGGAGCGGCATCCTTTGCTGCAGTCCTTTGCAAAATCTCCGAAGCCATAATGCGTTCTCAGAAAGTGCCGACCCCAGCTTTTTAACGTGTACGCCGCTGCCGTTGCCAGAGCTGTAGCTTGAACTCAATCACATGCTGGTCTGGGGCCGAGGACATCTGTCCATGTCTTGTCTCCCGTCCAAAAGTGGGGCCTACATCCGGCAAGAACACCCTGAATCGCTAACTCGGTCCTTCTGTACGATGCGCTCTCTACGACGAGCCGCAGAGATTTTCATTGGCCCACATCTTCATCAGACCACCGAACGTACCTCGCTTCCATGTTCACTGCTGCTGCGGCTGGCCGGTCATGAGCCTGATCTCTCTGGTGGAAGAACGTTAGCACCCCGGCCCCGGACCGCAACGGTGCCCACAAGTCCCTGATGTTCACCGGGAGTCAGGGAGTTGTAATTGTACGATCCCTATGCGGCCTGTTTATAGGTTCAGATTACTGAACCCCTACCAGAAGGATTAACGTCCGCATTCTAGAACAAATCTGTACATGGCAACCGCCAGCGCCGCGCCACGGCATACAAACAATTTACCAGACTATTGTTCGCCCTCGCGGTATTAGTGGGTCGATCAATTCCTGGATGGATTCGGTAAGATAACACCGCAATGTAGGCCTTCCCATGTGGCGAACATGTTCTCGACCAATGCGAGCAGCGAGTAAGTACTTTGTTCGGTCCGTATAAAGCATCTAGTGGCTGCACACCCTCACAGGTTCATTGCAGCGCGCATCCAAATTTACTTTCGTTTAAACTTAATATTTTGGACCTTCAAGATGCCTGTATTCTCTAGGTTAGCCGTTGCTGTTCAGCTCTTTGCTGTAATCCTGTCGCCAGTTCTTGGTGCCGCCGCTAAGCCCCAGTATGACTATGTCATTGTTGGAGGCGGTGTCACTGGATTGATTGTTGCCAACCGCATCACTGAGGACAAGAGCAGTATGTGTTCCAGCCCCAGACTTTGTCGAAAACTTCACTAACATCAGTCCCAGAGACTGTCCTTGTCGTTGAAGCGGGTGACAACGTCGATACCGATGCAACCAAGATCCCATACAAGGCCAATGACTTGACCTCTGCGGCTGGTTTGATTTGGGAGAACATCAACTCCCTACCTGAGCCGGCTATCGGCAACACATCGTACCAGGTTGTTGTTGCCAAGGTCCTCGGTGGTGGATCTGTCATCAATGGCATGGTCTACGACCGCGGCTCAGCCGCCGACTACGATGCGTGGGAGGCTCTCGGCAACAAAGGATGGGGTTGGAAGGGAATGGAAGAGGCCTTCATCAAGGGTACCACTTTCCAACCTCCAACTCCCGATGTTGTCAAAGACTTCAACATCACTTGGGATGAGTCGACCTACGGTAACGGACCGTTGACCGTCTCAATCACATCCAACCAATATGAGGATATCAAGGACTACTGGGCGGCGTGGAAGGCCACTGGTGTCTACATCCCAGAGGATGGAAACGCCGGCGAAGCCTACGGTCCTTCCTGGTACGCCAACACAATGGATGCGACCACTGGACGCCGCGCACATGCTCGCTACGCATACTACGACCCCATTCAGACTCGTGCCAACCTCCACATCCTCACAGGCACCACAGCCGACAAGATCGTCTTTGACAACAAGAAGAAGCCGCTCATGGCTACTGGTGTCGAGGTTACCGACAAGACTGGAAAGACTTCCACCTTCTACGCTAAGAAAGAGGTCGTCCTGGCTGCGGGCGCTATCCAGACACCTAAGCTCCTTCAGCTCAGTGGTATTGGCCCCAAGTTCGTCCTGAAGGCTGCCGGTATCGACGTCAAGGTTGAGCTCGATGCTGTAGGCTCCAACTTCCAGGACCACCCCTACGCCACCGTTGTCTTCAACACCACTTCCAACTACTTCCCTAACCAGAACTCGCTGATGACCAACGCGACATTCAACGCTTCCGCTTGGGAGCAGTACGTTGAGCACAAGACTGGTCCCTACACCTATGCCCGCGGTAACGCCCTGGCTTTCATCTCCCTGCCTGACATTACCAAGGACTTCAAGTCTCTTATCAGCACTCTTAACAGCCAGACCGCCACCGACTACCTTCCTAGCATCTACAAGAACAGCAAGCAGCTCGCCAAGGGCTTTGCTAAGCAGCGTGCAGTCATTGCTGACATCTTCGGCCGCAAGGATGCCGCCGTGGCCGAGTTCCCCGTTCCCGCGGACGGCTCATACGGTCTTGTCGGTGTCGAGAAGCCCCTGTCGCGTGGTACCGTCTACATCGACGCAAAGAACCCCAACGGCCCTCCCAACGTCGTCTACAACGCCTTTGTCAACCCCATCGACCGTATGGTCATGGCCGCTGGTATGCGATTCTTCCGCACCGTGTGGGCCCGCCCCGAGCTCGCCAGCCACAAGATCTCCGAGACCGTCCCTGGTGCTCAATACACCTCCGACAAGGAGATTTACGATGCCCTGCTTGCCCAGTCGATGTTGTCCCCTACTCTCGCTCACCCATCTGGCTCTTGCCCGATGATGCCCGAGAAGGACGGTGGCTGTGTCAGCGACAAGTTGATGGTTTACGGCACACAGCATCTGTCTGTTATTGACGCTTCTATCATCCCTATCATCCCATCTTGCCATCTCCAGGCTACCATGTACGGTATTGGTGAGAAGGCTGCTGAGATCATCAAGTCGAGGTAGAGCGTGGTGATGGATTGAACTTCTTCTTGTATATACTTAGTTACTTTAATGCATCTAGCGACTACATGAGCTGTGAGCGCATGCAAAAGTTGCATTGTTCAAAATTGCTTTGAGGACTATATTCCTCCGATCACCTTCTTTTGATGCCACCAAACTCAGTGAATACCTCCAGGCCACACTGAGATCTTAGGATCCCGGGTTAGATAATATTGAAGGAAGTAATGAGGAGCTGTGTTTGATTCGACGGCGCGTACCAATCCTTCGGTGACTGCGAACAAGCTTCCACTCGTTGAACGCGTGAGTGGGTCGGCCCCACTACAGTAGTGCCCCTCCATCCCACGGTTGCGTCACTACATTCCCAAAAGTTCAGGCTGCGCACAACTACGCGCGACTGCTACATTGCCTCCGCCGCAATCACAACTTCCAGTTTCAAATCTACGTATACGTCGGGCTACGCTATCATGAAGTTACTCAAGAGCCAAATCGAGCAGAAAACTGGCGCGGGGTTCGTCACCCTGCTGCCTGAGGAGCCAGAGGATATGGTAAGCGCGACACAATTATACGCATGCGCATACTGACAGCAATCCCAGTGGCACGCGTACAACCTAATCCAAGAACACGACCAAATACGCGCCAAGGCAGTTCGTCGAGTTTCGAAGACATCTGACGCCGGCTCAACGTCCTCGCAACGAATCGCTCTAGACCTCACGATCGCAGTAACCTCGACCGATTTCGATATTGGCTCCGGACAACTCCATGTGTCTGGGCGCGTAGCAAAAGAGAATGAGCACGTAAAATTAGGGCAACATCACACGTTGGATTTGGAGCTAAATCGCAAATTTACCATCGAAAAAGCCGACGGTTGGGATAGTGTCGCGTTGGAACAACTAAAAGAGGCATGCGACGCGTCGAAACGAGCGGAACTTTGGGCTGTTGTACTGGGAGAAGGTACCGCGAACATATGCATGATCACTGAGCATCAGACGATACTACGGCAAAAGATCGAGGTCTCTGTACCCAGAAAGAGGAGAGGTGGCGTAGACGGGCACAGCAAAGGCATGGACAGGTTCTTCTCGACGACGCTTTCGACGCTACTACGGCAAATCGACCTACCGAATGCCTCCAGCACACCCCAAGGCAAGACGCTCCCGCTCCTCCTCGCCAGTCCAGGCTTCGTAGCCTCGGCGTTTCTACAGTACATCAAAGAGGAAGCGACACGGACCACCAACAAGCCGCTCATGGCCCTCATACCTACGATAATCATCGCGCATTCGTCATCGGCGCACGTACACTCACTCAATGAGGTGCTCTCGTCGCCGGCGATAACGAACAAGCTGTCCGACACGAAATTCGCGCGCGAGACGGCATTGATGGACAAGTTCAACACACTCATGCGACAAGACGACGGTCGGGCGTGGTACGGCCCGCGCGAGGTGGAGCGCGCCGTCGCCAAAGGCGCAGTCGGGCGCGGTGGTGGGGTGCTAATGATCAATAACGCCCTGTTCCGCGCACAAGATGTGAAAGAGAGGAGACGATGGGTGAAGCTAGTCGACCAAGTGCGGGATGTGGAGGGTGGCGAAGTCAGGGTGCTCAGCTCATTACACGAGAGCGGGAAGCGACTCGAAGGCCTCGGGAACGTCGCAGCTATCCTCACCTACCCACTGGAAGACCTGGATGAGGATGACGGGGAGGACACAGGCGGTGTTGATGGCGAAGACGGCGAAATGATAATATAGGCTGGAGGATACATAGTCCTCCGGATTTCAACTTGCGCTTGGGAATATTCGCGAATACCTCCAGGCTCTACCCAGATACGACGACACAATATACCCATCATGATTACGTCCGCATATACCGGCACTCTGGCAAGTGATGTTCATGGTCACACAAGGCGGTAAGATTGACATGGTCCCTGCACCGTCCGTGAAACCTGTTGCACGCTGACCCAGCCGCCTCCTGTCTAGCGCTCTGCTTGAGCAAAAAGAGAGCAGCCTTTTTACTGTCGTCGCCCTCTGCTACCGCTGTGGTTCGAACAGGCCGAATCTTGGTTGTCTTCGAGCCACAGAAATTACCAAAAAAATGGTAGCTTCTCTTTGATTGAGCGTGTCATCCTTAGTGCAGGGGCCATGCTAATCTTCTCTGTATCGTTTCAAATTGACCAAATGCCCGAAGGCGAAAGGAAGTCAATTTTGTAATCCTATATACTCGTGTGTCGGTGAAAAGTCGCGTTTGAGCGAGTTTGGACATGGGACGGTGAAGTGGCGGGATATGGCTCGTGCGCGATCCGCAGAACGTGGAACGTGTGTTCAGGGGTCTCTAGGCTGTGATCGGACACGTGCAGTGACGTCGGCTCGAACTTCACAATGTCGGGATACATATTATTGGTAAGATGCGATACTACAGCATAGGAGTGCTCGTCGTAAGATCAGTACATGTAGTTGAGATATTGTATCAGGATCTCGAAAGAGAAGTACGCCCGGTTCATTGTTCACCTCGCTTCAACTCGCAGCTGTAGGGGAACTGACGGCGTGCTGAATTACACGACAATGCGCCACGGTCTCAACTATCTCAACAAGACGTTCGTCTTCAGGTAAGAGGCGTGGAACCTAGGCGCACGCGAAGCTGTCGCACTGGCCGCTTATATTTGGGCCTTGGCCACCCATCGACAGAGGTGAAGGTCGAGCTACGAGGTGATAGACAACAAAATGCGAGAGCCGTAGGCATCTCCGCTCACATAAGTAGATGACTGAGCAACCAAGTCTAGCTGTCTCTCTCTCTCCTCTCAACCTGTCAAGAACAGTAGCATGACTTGCGACATGGAGTCACAAGACCTATTACCCATATACATCAGCGACCGCGGACACGAATACAACCACCAGCCTGATTCTGCGTTTCTGGCAGCCGCGCACCGATGAATCGCCCGCCCAAGTTCTGTTCTACGATGCTTAGAAGGTTCACGGGCAACTTAGCAACATGTACATAAGCATCAAGGCTTAGTTATTGCGACGCGTGCGATAGGTAAAGGCGTGTGTCCAAGGTGAGAGACTGCGGCATGCGTTATCTCCAACCTTTCTGGCCTATATAAACCTCGCTCCAACTTCATCTGTTCCCTAACCTTGACAACCTCCCACAACGATATGATGCCGCTCACGAGGCCTCAAGACCCAGAAGCAGTCTTCATCCGCGACCAAGGCGACGTATTCAGCGCTTTAAGCCCCACACAGATCCGACCCTTCACCAATTACAGTATTCAGTTCACAAGCGCCCATCAGTTCTACCAGTGCGCGAAAGCGGCGCTCTTTGTGGACCAAGAAAGCGTCAATGTCATCATGGCGTCCACAGACTCGAAGGAGCTCAAGAGGCTGGGAAGCTTGGTGAAGTCATACGGGCATGATATCTGGAGGAAGAGTAAGACCATGCTTCCAACCATAGACCAGTGCATACGGAGTTACGATCGCTAATCTGAAGTAGAATCACTTGGTGTCTGGGTGAGGGCCTTCCAACAAATAGTCAAGACATCGAAGAATGCGAAAGGATTCAGGAACCTGCTTTTGGCCACCGGAGAACGCAAGATCACCTACGTACCTATTATCGACAACACATTGGCAGTCGGTCTCTTTCACGACATTCCCAATCAACAGCCCGGACATGTTTCTGATTACAGCACGGTTGGAGAGGCGCTTGAGAAGGTCCGGTCAGCACTCGTGCGACGGTCTGAGCTCGAGGCGGCCAAGGCGCAAGAGCAAGAGCAAGAGATGGAGCAAGAGATGGAGCAAGAGATGGAGCAAGAGATGGAGCAAGAGATGGAGCAAGAGATGGAGCAAGAGATGGAGCAAGAGATGGAACAGAAGTCAGATTCTGCAAAACAGGACAAGAACGTCTCTAGCAACAAGCGGAAGGCAGGTCCAATGGAGCTGCGGCAATACGAAGAGAGGGCAGACAAGAGGGCGAAGCAACAGTAAGTCATCGCGAAAACTGGTTTTTGTTCATACGCATACTAATTTGGCCCTAAGGAATTCGGTCTCCAAGGCGACACAGACTGAATCGCCTGCCAACACCGGACAAATCACCGATAAGGGACTGCCTGAAAACTGGTGGGTTCCTAAGTCAGCACGCACAAAGCGGTACGGCCGGGTAACGGAACATATGCGCAGATAGATCGCAGCATTGTCGCCAAATGGACGGGGTAAAACGTTCGAGATCAGTAGCTCAAGGCTTGGGAGCTCGATACCGATGAAATTTCCTCGTGCTTTGTCATAGATGCATGGTTATGACTGTAATATCAGTGGTGGTTTCGTAGGCCAGTATCACGAATCCAAAATCACAAAGCCTCCATTAGAGGAACAGGCGGCAACACTCTGAGTACAAATTATGTAAGATGCATTTATGCTAGGATATGTATGTATCATTCCAAAAGAAGAAAGAGAAAGAGAAGAGAAGAAGAAGAAGAAGCGTCAAGCGACGAACGATATCATCATGGTCGTAACCAAACAAAAAGAGAAAACACCGATCCCCCGACCATCCATAAAATGCAGAAACAACAAGCAGAAAAAGAAAAAGGTATAACACGGTTACCCCATCTTTCACCATCAAACACCGCCGTTGCATGCATGCCGTTACTCATCCCGATAGAACTTCTTGAAGATCAAATGCAAAAACAGATTAACATTGACTCTGGCGACACCGTCGCCGGCAGCCGCGCCACCCCGAGCACCTTCGCCGAAGAGATTCATAAATTGGTGGTTGTCGAATTGCGCTTGGAGGAGGCCGTCGAGGGGCACCTCGGCGAAAGCACCGGGGATCATCATGGAGCCCTGGGAACCTTGGATCTCGAAGATACCCGTTTGGTTGCTGGAGATGGTAATGTCCATGCGGTCCCATTGCCGCTCGTGGTATCCAGACCAGGAGATGAGGATGCCCTTCTCGGCCAGGTTGCGGGCGGAGTATTTGAAGGAACCGAAGCGGTACTCGCGACCGCTGTTCTTGAGTTCACGCTGGTGGTTGTATTGGCGGGTGAAGGGAAGGAGGAACTTCTTCTTTCCCTTCTTCGATTGCAGCGTTACCATGGCTTGTTCGATGTAGTCGTTGTAGGACTTGAGTTGCGACTCTAGGAAGTGTGCCTTCTCGTCGAGTGCGGCCAGTGTAGTGCGTACTCCTTCCAACTCCTTGGCGCGTTGGATACGTCTTCGGTGCTTGGTGCGGATATCGACCGCGATGGCGTTGAGTAGGTCTTGGTAGTTGTTGGTGTGCGAGATGCGGCCTGCGCGTTGGAGTTGTACCATGTTCTCCAGACAGTATTGCTTGAGTGTGGGGTAGTCAAGATCAAGTACAGAGTTGGAGCCCATATCCTGCGTGTAAGTCGAAGCGGCAGAAGATCGGACTACGTTGCTCTGTTTCCGCGAACGATCTTTCCGCTGCGCGATGATCTCTTCACGGACGAGAGCGTCCCAGCGGTTCTCGTCATCGGGGGTAACCGGCTTGCACATGATCTCGGTGAGGTTGGCGCCGGTTTGGATGCGGATGATGTACAGCACGTAGCGCTTGGTCTCCATGAAGAGGGATTTGATTGCAGAGTCGGGATCTAGGAAAGTCAGTAAGTGGTAACTGCAAGTGGATGAAGAACTTACCCTCTTGCTCATGGTACTTGGGGTTCAGGGTCAATGTGATTTCGCTGGAGCTGACGTGCAGAAGCTCGTTCTCGTTGTTCTTGGCGCTACCGAGCTCACGGACAATCTCACGGAGTGGATCGTCTTGAGAGGGGCATAAACTTGGTAGATCTTCGATGACGAGGTTGTGAATGGCGAATACGTCTGCGAGCTTGATGTAGAGTGTCGGCTTGGTTCTTGCAAATAGATCGTTGAACTCGTCAATCTCGAACTGAGCTTCGGCGGCACGGACGTTGATCATGTTCGACCAGATATCTTGTAGGCGATCGATTGCTTCGGTGATGTAGCTGTTGAGAGGCTGCAGGTAAAGATCGTCTCCACCAAACAGCTTCCCCCCGGCGATCTGACTGAGGACCTTGGCAACAGCTCCAAGGTTTCTGTTCATCACTGGCGACAGGCCACGATCCACCACACCCCAGTGCTGAGGTTGCAATAGAGCAGGCTGAATGTAAGCCTTCCATACCCAGTAGCCGGTGATTTGTAGAAGCTGCTCTTGCGCCTCGTAGGGGAACTTCAAGCGTAGTTCTTCGAACATCTGCTGTGCGATATACCTTACACCATATGGCATCCGGTGGAGTACCTCTTCGAACATCGTAAAGTACTGGTCAGCAACATCGCGAAGATCTTGCAGGTTGTGAATGAAAGTACCACGTGTCTCGGGGTCCTTGAGTGCTACATCTCGCGAGACATTCGGGTCGCGACGACTACTTTGGCCGGTACGGAGCTCCTCGTTGTTGATGGCGGAACGATAGATCTGCATCGGGTCGCTCTCAAGGTCCAGGTGCTCATTCTCAATGATATTCTCACGAATGACAGTTCCAAGAACATCTTTGAGGAACTTTCGGTCTCGCGGTGACCGGACGTAGTTGGCGAACAATTTGGACCAAAAGAAGTTGCCACGAAGGTACTCATGGAGGTTCGCACAGCCCTCAATCTCCTCCTTCAGCGATCTTGTGAGTAGCTTCAACAGCCAGTACTCTTCTCTGCGTTTCTGGGCCAAACCAAACATACTCATGGTCAGCTGCTCGATGCGCTTGATGTCACCCTCTGCGAGATTTTGTTCACGAACGCGCCTGAAGAGTCTCGCCATGTACTGAGGCTGGGTCTGCAGAACAAAGAAAAGCTCCTGATACTGCTCCAGCTTCCGGCGCGAGTTCTTGTTGAGTGCTTTGAGATCGAAGGGGTCCTTTGACGAGATGTCCTTGCTGCTGAGTAGGGTGCCGACGTTGCCACCGAAGTGCTTCTGGTGCTTGACGACCTCGTCAAGGGTGATCTTGTTCTTTACGAGAAGCGCAATCTTGATGTCCAGTTGATCGACGTACTGCTCGGCGAGCTCGTTCTGGCGCACATGCTGTACTACAGTCTTGCGAAGACGCTCGAACTCTGACATTCCGTTAGTAAGACATGGCTGCAGTAACCAAAGAGCGACTTACCAATCTCCTCATCAAAGTCGATGTCGTTGTCATTAAGAAGATGCACAAAGTTCTTGACAGTCGACACTGGAGGGTTTGTGCCACTGGTCAAGCTCTTGTAGGCTTCACCTTGTTGACGACCACGGATGAAGCTCTGCACTTTGATGACCTTCTCCATATTCTCCTTGTAGAACTGCTGCTTCTCTGCAAACTTCTGGCGGATCATCAAACCGCGCGCCAGGGTCTGTAGTTCGACAATCGCATCTTCGTGCTCTTCCACTTGACCAAGCTGCATACCGATCTGCATCCTGAGCAGCATACCACGTGCCACGGCTTGGAGATCGACGGTTTCGGGCTCTTGAGCATTGAGCTCGCAAAGAGTCTCGTAGGTCCGTTGGCGTTGCATGAAGCCTCGGCAAGCCGATTGGAGGTCTAGAATGGTGGGTTCTTGCGCCTGAAGTGCCTTGAGATCAGAAAAGTGCTTCTGTCGCGAAAGGAAACCGCGAATGTGTGACTGAAGCGAAAGAACGTTGTCTTCTTGTTCGTGCAGAAGCGTGAGGATCTCTGTGATCTCTGCACGCATGGTGCCACCCCTTGCGACAGCTTGTAGATCGGTGATCTGAGGTACTTCGGCTTGAAGCGCCTCGTGGATCTGCTTGACAGAGTTTCTCAAGACATTGGCGCGAACTTGGGACTGAAGACCAGACCAATTGACATTCGTGCTTACCAGCTTCTTCTGCATTGCGGCGTCCTTCTTCCTAGCAAGAAGACCTCGGGCAGTTGACTGCAACATTGTAATCATAGATTCGTGTTGACGAAGACCTTCCTGATCGGCACGTAATGACTGGCGGACACGCATTGCTCTTGCGACGGCTTGGAGTTGCGCGACCTCAGGTTCATTCTGTTGTAGCTCAGCCCATTCCCGATCGACTTGCTGGCGTAGAAGAGCGCCACGAATCATAGCCTGCACATGCATAACGGATGGTTCGGTATCGCGGGTTTTTTCGTATCGGTCGGACACACGTAGTCGTTCCAGCGCTCCTCGGATGGCTGCTTGGAATTGCCGTATGCCGTGTTCGTGTCGCTCGATCTTCGATTTGGTGTACTGAACTTGCGCTCTGGCCTTGCGCCCACGGAACAGGTTCTGCACCTTCAAGACCTGGGCCTCATTGGCGTGCCAAAACTGTTCTTCACCCTGGAGCCTCGATCGGACCAGGAATCCTCTCGCTGCACTTTGCAGAGTGACTGCGAAACGGCGCATGTCCATGCGGTAGGTGGAGATTTGTCGAGCCCAATCGCCACGGATGCGTGCCTGCAAATCCACGATGAGGTGCTCATGGTCCCAGAGCTCCTGCATCACCATCCCGAGGCGGATTCGGACGAGAGCACCGCGCATCTGAGCCTGAAGATCTAGTATGATGTCCTCGTTCTCTCCAAGCTCGCGGTCAATGCGGTCTTCCTCAGATTCCACTGGTTCTGGCTCTGGCTCCGGTTCCGGCTCGACTTGGAAGTTGGCTTGCATGCCTGAGAAGTTGGGCATACTAACACCAGACTTGTCCAGACCTTTTTGTGTAGCCTCCAATTCGTGGTCCTCGAACTGGAGTTTACCGACTAGATTGCCAATTCGGAAGTCGACAATGCCTTTTCGGAACAGAAGCCATGAGAGCGCGTGAATGCAGTAGATGACCTTGGGTACGTTCTTCTTCTCGTAGAGATCGACCAGTTCGAAGCGGAAGAGATCGGGGAGTTCGACTTCGGACAGGAACTTGAAGAAGTGAGCGTAGTTGTTGGAGTGCCGGTACTGTAGCTTCGGGTCGCGGAATATGCGCAGCGGTTGTCCTTTGATGGACTGAACAATCTCCGCTAGTGTGATGCCGTTTCGCAGTGCCTCCTCCAGTTCAACGACAGGCGGGAGGTCCGTCTCGATGATGTCTTCCATCCACTCCTTGGCTTCTCCGATATGACAGAGATATTCGTAGGCCTGCAAGAACTGGCGCTGTTGGTCCATCCAGTTCCGACTTGACCAAGTGGACGCCGTCTTTTGTGGTGTTTCTAGCCGCTGCAACCTTCTCCGTCCATT